TGGATGGGCTGGCCCTGAAGCCTTTGTCTCTGATAACAGAGCCTTCCCTTACCTTGCATCACGGGGCAGACTGTACCAGACAGGCCATCTGTCCCTGTGATGTTTTAGTTCTTTCAGGTTGGGACGAGTAAGCTGATACCACACAACAGAGCACACACCTAGGGCAGGACACCGGTGGCATTGGCAGCCACTTCCCTCTGGTGTGCTAACAACCCTGCACTCGCTTACTCCAGTGTTCTGACCACTGTGACTTGTGCCTTACACGCTCTTGGCTTTGGTTACTCAAGTGTTTCTTAGCTTGTCTTTGCCTCAGATGGTGTACCCTAGACCTAAAAACTGGCACCTGCATGGCCTCACTGCTAGCTAGGCAGTGAGTTCCAGTTCTATCCCAGAACTATCCCAGTTCTCTGTTTCTCCTGCATCCCAACAGATGCATGTCACAGCTATGTGAAAATCCAGACTGAACATTTTCCAGTGAGAACTCCTGCCTTCCCAGTTCCCTCACCTTCTCAGTAAAGCCAAGCTGCATTGCTGCATTGCACTATCAAACCATGTCAATTCCTATCACAGTTCAGACCTGAACTGGAGTCCCTCAGGGACTTCGGAGTGGAGCTACCATGTGGCTTATTCACTGTGATTTCAAGCTGCATATGCTGTTTTACAGATAAGATACAGTCCACCAAGCAGCACGAGAGACATAAACTGTATTCACTTTGTGGCAGACAATGCAGTGAAACAAAGCTATCATTCATCTTCTTAATTTTTTTTTAATCTTCTGAGATTGTTCTTCGTAAGTCTGTTGGTCGCTGGACACCAGCTCTCCCCCCAGATTTATTTGCCCCTTGCAGCAAGCAGTTATTTTCTGGCTATCAGAATTCTGACAAGCTTGTCAGGCCTCCAGCAGTGTGTGAATAACATACCCTGTAGTAGCATGACCTTTTCTGGGTAATGAAATGTGCTTGGGCTTCATGCACTGGCTTCCCTCCTTCCGTTTTCAGATGGTTTCAGCTTCTCTAGCCATGAAACTTTGGCCGCAGGAGAAACTCCTGCCAAGACCAGCCACACAGTGAACAAAGCAATATTTAAAGTGCTTAAGAAAAATATGCCACAGCAGCTGGGCTAGTCTTCATCACTGTCCTGATTTCCCTGCAGGACAGAGATACAGTGCAGGAGATACAGCTGGAGTAGTGCCAAATAAGCTTTTGCATGATTGATTTTCATGCACAGCAGCTGAATTTCCCAGCCCTGGAGATGCTGACACCTCCCAGCTTCTCAGGCACAGACCTAGTGGACAAAGGCACCAAACTGCTCTCAGCTGGAGAGCAGAACACTTCCAAGTGCTGCCTTATTAATGCAAGCGTTACTGAAAAAAGGCTTAAAACTCCATTTCAGTTTTAATCACAGTATGGAAGGTAGAGTTCCCTGGGCTGAGGCTGGATACAGTGCTGATATTGCTCATGGCAGACCTGCAGCCAAGGCCCCATGACCTGATGGGATATAAATCCCTTGCATCTCTCAAGATTGGGCTATTATGTCTGATCTGTAGTGGCCTAGCTCACCATTTATTTTCATAATTCATAAATCAAACATGAGAGGTGTCAGGAACAGAGTTCAATACATGGTAAAACTGTGTGACCAGTCCCAGTACCAAACCTTTGAAAAGCTAACCAGAGCAGAAGAGTGACAACAGCTACTTTATACATTTTTATTTTTAAGCCACTATATGAGCTGTAATGAGATAAAACTACCAGTGAACCTTGGTATTTAGAGGCACTGACCTTTGTCTGTGAGGGCTGTGACTTTAATAAGGAAATGCTGATTTAATCTACTAGTCTGCAGAATGCTTCTATGTTCTGCTGCAGTGTAAAAAATACACTGATTTTCTCCAACCTGCTGATACTGTTCCGTACTGTTTCCTTGTGCCTTCCTCACCAGGATTTTCCGAATTTCATGACCATGCTGGATGAAATCTTGGTGCTGAAGTCAAAGTGTGTCCAAGCAATGCGAGCCCAGCTGCAGCTTTGTTTAGCCTCCACTGACATATCACTGCAAACACCTCCACCAGTTTAGACCTTCTTTGCTTCCATGTGTACTGGAGCACCTACAGGAGACCTCAGCCAGCACTTTGCTACACTTGGTGCTGCAGAGTGTGGGTGGTAGGGGATAGCTTTTGGTTTGATGTTTGTGATTAGTGTGTGTGCTTTATATAAGGATGGAGAGAATTCTGAGTAAATGAGAGATGACTAATTGGCACCATAAGCTGTGTATTTCATTAATACTAGTAAGCCACGTTCTGAACAGTAACAATTCAGCAGCCTTTAAATATCTCACCAAGCAGAAAGCAAGTTGTGTTCATGTATCATAGCAGCTCCTCACATGTTAAAGGCAATTTTGTGTTGCCAAGTAAGGGAAACGACTTTGAAGCCAGATACAGGTCTGAATGAAATGCTCAAAAGCTACCCACAAAAGTCCTTGCAAACAGAAGCCAGGAAAGAGAGAGGGTTGTTACACTAAAGTGACTGGACCTTAAGTATTTGGAAGTCAAGGGAGGGTGTGAAGTGCTTTCAGTTTCAGAAGAAGGAAGCCTATTGTTAGTTCTTGGGATGAATCCTCCAGAGCTCCTGAAAGAAGTAGCTTTAAGTTATGGGTAAGAAGTGGTTTAGCAGGGACTTTGTACCAAAGATTCCATCTGGCATGTTAATAAGCACATGGGTTTCATGCTGCTGCCCAGAGGAAGACACCAGCAGCTGTACCTGCTGCACACTACATCTAATGTTCTGACCAGAGCAGAACAGATTTCTCACATGAAAAGGGGGTCTGCTTGGAGGCACTGAGCTTCCAGAAGCTGCTAACAGCACTGTTAGGTGAAACTGGTATTTGAATCAAGAGCTATGGAGCCATCAGCTGGAGCCCTACAGAAGACCTGGTGCTGCATGCATCACATCTGAACCACAAAGCTAGTCCACTTGCTTTGAAGGCACAAGTGACCTTGAGACATGCTTGCTGACAATGCACTGTGTGAGCACTCCCACTCCAAAATTAGGGCTGTCACAGCACATTCATCCATCTCTGTGTCTCCTCAGTAATGCCTGTGGTAGCTCATTCAAAACCTGCTCAGTAGCCAGAAATGCCAAGGGGAATGGAACACTGCTGTCTGACCAGCTGTGGGTTTTGCTGCCTGCCTGCACAGCCTCCCTGAGGAGCCCAGGTTGGGCTGAGCAGCAGGACAATAATTGCAGTGACACTGGGATGCATATTTGGTGCAAACACTCCTAGGAATGTCACCCGCGTAGGCCTGGGGAACAGAAGCAAATCCCACATCACTGCCCTGACTATTGGGCTGTTTTTAGCAATGGTTAGTCTCCATCTTGCAACTGAAACTGTATTTCTCTGTGGAGCAGAGAGCAGAGCTTCTCTGGGGTCTGAGGTTATGGCTCTTGAAACGGTTCCTGTGTCCTGGTCACAGGCCAGCAGCAAGTCACACCTAAACCTGGGTCAGAAGCCTTTCTCACTTACCCAGAGAGATGAGGCATCCAGGAGGAAGACTCTTGGTATTTCTGCATGGAGCAGTCGTGCCTGGCAGCCACCAGAGAGCTGTAAAGTAGTGGGACATCAGCACTCTGCTCAAACCATGCAGGGAGGAGTACATGTTTAAAACCAGCAATTCCCTCCACTTCCTGGGGCCAGGGAGACTTTTCCTGTGAGTAAGGTGAGGGGAATACGAGGCTGCTGCGTAGTCCTGATACCACAAATTAGATGTGGGCACTTAAGTTTCCCCAGCACGTTCTCAGCAAGCATGCAGCAAATACTGCTCTCAGGGAGCAGCTGAGGAGTTTGGCAAGTCTATTTGGAACCAAGGAAAAGGTCAGACTGTAGGATGTGTACACAGGTCACAGGAAAATGTGATGCCCAATCAGAAACAGTGCGAGGGAGGAAAATTTTTCCTCCACATACTCTGACATTTGGGAGATGAGTATTGGTTGAGTGCTCTTTCAGGTTTTTAAAAAGCAGCTGAGCAAAGTATGTTCACAGGCATTTTGAGTGTCTACAGAAGCCGGACATTCCTAAGCAACACACAGGAATCATTTGCATATCCCACAATGCCATGTCCTAACCTCAGTATCTGCAGGCAGTTGTGATAAGACAGATGACTGACCAAAAATTTCTGTGAGCAGAGATGTGAGTTAAGTCAGCTGCCAGATTGGAGCCACCTGTGAATCCCATCTGATCTACTGTGAAAAAAGCAAGTCTCTCTGGCAGATCTGAGCCCCAGCATCAATTCCCAGAGCAGGAACTATTTGCTTCCTTGAGGAATGGCCAGGGACACTGAGAAACAACAAATAATCAGAACAACAACCACACACACAGTTTTCCGAGGTCTGATACAATCTTTCTTTTAAAAGGGTTATTGAGCCAATCCACATGACTACACCTTCCTAAATATATTTTATTATGTCTGTTCTCCAAAATTTATTTTTCTCTATTGAATGTGAGACTTGACCAAAATAAAAAAATAAAGCACCTGGCTGTGAAAATCAGCCCATCCTTGGCAATAACATGGACATGCTTGAAGTGCTGCACACCCCAAAGATACCAACAATGGGTTCTGCATACACAACAGAAACTATCAAGCTGCTGGCAGAAATGGTAACATTTTTCTCTCCCCTGTGAGGTTTATTACCTAGTTGCTGCTTTAATTCTTGTGTGAAATTGTGCTAAATGAACATTTTAAGTGTCATCCCCTTCCTACTGTTTGATTTTTCACTGACAACTGCTACAAAAGGTTTTCGCTTCAACTTGACAAATATGTGTTAAAGTGTCATAAAAGCAATCTAAGAGATTTAGAGAGCTTGGCCATGTACAATCGAATAAATACAGAACTAAAATGGATTCACTTTTGTATTCAGATGCAACAATGACAATGCTTATTAGCAGAGGCTTGATACTTTATTTCAATAGTTGACAGAATTTAAAATAAAATTCATTTTGCTACAGAACTCTGTTAAAAATCATTTTAGGTAAACATGATCAAAATGCCTCTTTGATTGACTGCAAAATATTAAGTGAGGCTGGAAATCTGTACAAGCTCCCCTTCTCACAGGGCTTGTTGGTATGGAGAGTTTCATTCATTCTAGAATGACCCTTCCTGGCTTGGGCAGCAGCCACAGGAAGCCGTTGACAGGCCTCTGTTCTCCGGCAGATCCGGGGCAGGAGCCACGAGCCGGCTAAAAAATGCTGCTCCCACTGCCCAGCTACAGTTTCAGGAGCCCTGGGCTGCCATGCGGGTGAAGGATAGCTCTGCAGTACCAGGGCCATTTCCAGGCTACTGCTGTCCAGAACCAGCAGGAGGCAGCTCAAAGATGCTCTTGTTGAAAGTACAACCACCACTTGAGGCTCTGCCTCTACACTTCTCACCAGCCTTCTCACTCAGGCACACAGACCTCACATAGAACCTCTCAGAAAGGTACAGCAGGGACATGAATCAATGTGACCTGACAGCTAAAAGAAATGCTCCAAGGTCACAAGTGACCTTGGGTGCAGCCAATCTTCTCACCAGCCAGCAGCAAGGCAGAGCCCAGCCTTCCTCCAGCCAGCAGGACCTCCCCACACCCACAATGACCTGTACCAGGACAGAACAGTACCAGATTAACAAATGCTGCACAACACCCTGAACATTGAACTCTGGTCACAGTGGTTCTCTTGTTACACATTTATTTGGCAATTCCTCTTCTCGAACCCCCTTAATCTCCTCACTCTTTGGTATTTTCTTCTCTGAGATGCCAATGCAGGACTACACTTCAAGCCTTCAGCCACCCATGGATTTAAATCCAGAAATGTCACTGCCGAAGCAAGAGTAGCATCACCAGGGAAGACCCAAGTGGGCATGGCTCTCTGAAAAAAAGATGCTGCATCTTCACAGGTGCCACTTCCCATCGTCACCTCCCTGCTCTCACCTCCACAAGAGCTCCAAAAGCAGAGTAGTTATTCTATAGGGCTAAGAACCAGACCCTGGAGGGGAACTGTGAAAAAACAACACACACTAATACAATCAGAGATTATTTTATTCAGAGTTTTTGTCTAAATAGTTGTTTCTTTGCTGTCAAAGACTTCTTGCCCCTTCAGGACTGTCTGGTAGCAGACAGGGACACACTTGGGTAGCAATTCTGAGAAAACCAGAACAAGTAACACAATCAAATGCTCTCAGCAATGATGGTAAAGCAAAATTTGAATTTTGTTTTCAAGGTTTTCAAATTGATCAGGAACCCCATTTCCTCACTTCACTGTTGCATTTTTCACCTGGGAAGGAAGAAAAGCTGGACAGTACCTGCACTAACAGAAGCAGCAGCTGTTGTCCCACCAGCTGTTGAACATCCTTAAACAAGCTTTATTTCAGCTCTACCACTAGAAAATGGTCAACACTGGGGTATGTGCAAGGCAGCCTGCTCTGCTCCTCCTCATTCTACTCCATACCTCCTAGATACTTGCCAGCAGATCCCTCTCTTGCATAATTTTAAAGTAAATGTATGTAATTCACACAGTTGGGCACCCCACAGAGAATTCCAGGAGTACACACTGGGCCCAAATTAGATGTTTTGATCCTAGAAAGTTAACATAATGGAGAGAAATGCCATCATCTCCTTTGGAGCCCTTATGAGCTGAAACTTCGTACTGAAAACCTACACTGATGCAATGAGCTGAGATGTTTTGACCTCCAGCAGCCCAATGCTCCAGCTCCAGGCTCTAATGTGAATTTAGATCCCTAGGCTGGGGTTTTGCCACAAAACGAAAATAAGCCACAGAGAAGCACAGCACCCCACTGCAGTGTTCACATGTGCCCAAAGGAGATGGCAGCACCTGGGCAGGCAGGATCCAGCAAGTTCCTTGTCTGCTGAAGCCAAAGAGGATGAGAGATGGGAAACATGACAGTTGTATTTCAGGGTTTTATTAGTTGCTCTTCTGCAGAATCAAAATATTTAGCAAATTAGAGATTCCTCTAGACTGCTGATATTTCATGTATTTAGAACTTGATCAATGTACAACATAATACTTTGAACTATCAAAAACAACCCCAAACCTGATTTGTAGCACTAGATGTTACTATGTAGTTCTATTGCAATGTGAAAAATGGAACTAATGCAGTGAGTATATTTGTTTTAAAGAAAGTGCTTGAAAGAAACCTCCTGCATCACACTGTATATTATTTAGATCAAAAAGATAACTGGATTTCTAGCAGGGCATTGTCTTAAATATCCTATAAGCCCAGGGGATTAAAAATATTGAGCCCCAGCTCTCCACCTTCAGGTTCAAGAACCAACACAAGTTGCAGGTCTAGGTTGAGTTCACAGCTTACCTGCTTCAAGGGAATTTACCACTCAGCATTGCACACTTGTGTCTGGCAGAAGTGTTGGATGAATGGGTAAAGAACAAAAACCAAGAGGACAAAACAAGGTTCTGTCTTTATGCATAGTGACAGTTTCTGAACCAGTGTTCTACTAAGTTACAGACTAACTTTCAACCAAAAAAATAAAACTCCATTGCACTAAAGGTCAAATTTAACCAGGTAATCTGGACTGTGACACAGTCAAGTAACTCAGTACAAGCAGACAAGACACCATGAAAGCAGCTTCAAAGAACCAAAGCATCCTAGTTTCAGACCCAACTTAATATTCTTCTGTCCAACTCCAGTGCAACAATGAGGGGGGCAACCACTCCATCTCTACCTATGTACAATTCCAGTCAAGGCTGGGCAGTCTCAACTTTCCGTGGCCAAGCTGGAAAAAGGAAACTCGGGAAAGGACACTTCAAAATTTAATTTAAGAATGAAAGTTGGCCCTCAGTGAAAAGAGAAATGCTGGAGTGATGCACGCAGGCAGACTTGCTCAGTCACTCTCCCTTGTATGCGAAAAGCTGGACTCCTTCCCACTGAGAGCAAGTCACACTGGATGCAAAGGTGGCGGGGCTGGTCCTGCTCTGTTGCACACAAAGAATCCAGGAATGTGTCTTCAGCTGGCTCCTGCACGGGCCATTAGATCTTCCAAAGCATTGTGTTGGTCGTTGTTGTGTAATAATAAGACCTCCTTAATGTCTTTTAGTTCAAAGCCCATTTCTTTAAATTGACTCATTAATTGGAGAAGTTCTGTGATCTGAAAGACAGACAGCCTGTTATTTGCAAGAGTAAAGTAGATGGATCAGTGCTTGGTGGAGGTTTAGCACAGAGCCTGTCTTCAGCAGCTGGGCATGCCATAATTGTGGATTCCTCCTCCCCAACCACAGCCTATTCCAGCTTTGTTGGGACAAAGTTTGCTCACACTAGAGCTACCAGAGCTCTGGGCATAGCAGCCCACAGAAACCTTCAGTTCCCTCTATTTGCCATCCTTCAGTTTTAAACCCTATTCAATCAGGGCACCAAGCTCCGTCTGCAGGGGTGTCTCTCACAGAATGATATTTATCAGTCTGGCCCAACATGGGATTCCAAAAATTCTGATTAATGGCACCCAGCTGCCCCATCCAGCAGCTCCTGCTGCATATGATTTTTTTTAAAGTTACTTGGACTTTGGGAACAGTGCAGTAGCCTTTGCTATCAAGTGGCTTCTCAGATCTAGGGCAAACTTGGGGGATTAGCACAAACCCCACTGTGTACATACGGTATTTCCAACATAAACTGAATCCTCCCTGAGCTTTGAAAAACAAAATGGCAAGAAGTGAGTCAGCTAATCACTTTTTTGAACCCTCTGCCATTTATAGTGCATCTGCTCCACTCCAGGGTAAAGAAAAATCACAAACAAGCAAAGAGGTTGAAATGGGCAATCAGGAGATTAGCCATTTCCAATTCTGGGGCTGAGCCAATAGCAAATGGGTTTCTCAAACTCAGTTACTTTCCATCCTCACACTGCTACTGCTGTTTACAAGATTATCACTTGTCCAAGAAAAGCAGGAAAGCATATCTATGTTTGAGGGGGTTGGGTTGCACCTCTGAAGATTTCATATAATAACCTGTCACACAATTGGCTGGCAGACTTTAAGAAAATCCTGTCATCTGTCCTTACTACCCACTCCTGCTTTTCCTTTGGTGCTGGTAAAGCAGCCAGACAATGAACTAGACCCCAAAAATATGCATTTTCTAGCTTCTTCCAGAGCAAGCCCTAACTCAGTTTGCTGGGCAGCCAGGCAGATGCACTTGTACAAAGGAGAAAATTCATGGCCAGGGCAGGCTGGCAAGGTTTGAAAGACAATTTTTGCTGCTGCTGAAGTTAACTGTATCTGTACCAAGCACCTACCCCACAAGAGAATTCTGGGCATTCAGAACAATATGACTACAATAATCAGGGTCTTAAAAAAATCCTGTTCCCATAAAAATGGATGCAAATGAGATTAACAAAACTACACAAATTCTAACGCCTTAACAATTTTTAGTTTTATCAACACAAAGATGTCCTTTGGCAGTCAGTTTTGGAAACACGGCAGCATTACCGTGAAAGTCAGAATTACATCAGCCAGAGGAACTGCTGCTGGAATTCCCTGTCGTGGCACATTTTTCTATTCCTGCACACATTGCACCCTCACCTTCTCCTCTGAACACTGGTGCATTTCCAAAGCTGCTTCAACAAGAAGTGGATCAAAGCCCTTCTCACAAAGCTGTCCATGTGCAAACAGGTAATCCAAAACCTGTGGGGAATGAAGAAAATAAACTGGGTTTGCAGAGAGGCACTTGCAGCGGGCAGCTGAATGTCACCCTGGTACATGCAGAGGGGCTGAGCATGATTCTACTCAGGGCTTCACCAGGGACAGGGATACAGTCCTTCCTAGCAGAGTTCAGACACTCCTTATACAAGAGCTTGTGCGGAGAAAGCAGACAAACCCTTCTGTCCTGCTGTGCTCTCCTTCATTCTAGTCAAAGCAGCCTCGGAAGTGTATCTTTAGCCCTCTGACTGCAGAGCAGAAGTTTCATTGTGCTTTTTATACTACAAGTTTTAAAAACAAAACTGTAGGTCCAGCAGTCAGGACATGTCTGCTTTTAGCTTCCTCTCAGACAGCCACAAGAGCTGATGCAATCTGAGAGCAGTCAGCCTTTGATGATCAACTCAGCATACTGGCAAGTGAGCTGCAAACCCCAACTCACACACTCAGAAACTGCTGCCAAATTTCTTACCCATCCTCAGCTTTAAGGGGAAGGGTCAGGTAGACAATGCTAGGTATATGAAAGAACAGAGCTTGCAAGTAGAGCAGCATTTAAAACCACTCTCCTAAGGGACCTTTTTTTCTATTTGATACCACAGTTCACTCCAGTGCACAGCTAAGTCACTCTCTGTAGGTAGGGAGAGGGCCAGCAGATCAGTCCCACAGGTAGGAGTCCCTGGGACATGCTCTGTGCAGCACACAGCCTGCTGAGGTCTGGCATGGGAGCTTGGGCCAAGTTCTCCCACTTTGAAGTGTTTGTTTGAAGCAGATGCAAGAGCCATGCTCTGCCCAGCAGTGCTTTGTGCCCAGTGACCTGGTTTGAGCAGGTGTAAAAGGCAGTGCTCAAGCAAGAAGCAGCAGCACCAGGGCACACACAGGTCAGTCAGTGCAGCTTTGCAGGAGCCTTTCAGAGCTGTCTTAGGCCTGCAGGGGCCAATCTCTCTACAAGGCGGGGTGCGTCAGCATTGTAAACCCTCATGCTCAGAACAAGGGAGGTCAGCTGGATTTCTGTCATGTGGCTCTAAACATGGCACAAAGCCATGGTAAGCTTCCTTTGGATGTGTTTGTGGCTTCAGGAGAGACCCAGAATCTCTCCCCCCATTTTCACATGGAGCAAAGGGCCCATCCCAAACTCAGCATGGCTCCAACACAGCACCCACAGGTGTGGCTGACTCTTGCAGCCCCTCACCAGAAATAAGCACAAGCTTTAGGTTGTAACCCCCTAATTTCCCCTAACCATATTAAGAGTTACAGTATTTCCCCCACCCATTTTGCAAACCCAAGATGGCTTCCCAGCAGAACCAGCATCCAATAAAGCATTTCTTTGCACTGCACAAGCTCTTACCTGGTCTATGTTCTGTCCCTTCTTCTTCATGGCTTTCAGGACGTTCTCAGGTGAGTAGCCCATGTTGACCACGGTCTCCACACAGTGCCTCTCGCTGGGGGAGAGGCCCTGCTGCAGCTCAGCTGCAAGACCACCTGGCCACTTCGTGCAGCTACTATTATTGGGCACTTTAGACACTGCAAAGTTTTGGTGTGTTACCTAAGGGGGAAAACCCAGAAGTGATGGTCATCTCTTGCATCCTGTCATCCTGTTTCTGCCTAGAGCCAGAACCACGATACCCCATGTAATTAATCCAAAAGGTTTTTTAGAGTGCCCTTGGGAAGTTACATACTGTGAGGATGAAACCAAGTAGCCTGATTCCCAGCACACTCTTTTAACCCTCAAAGCAATAATCAAGAACCCTGATTCTTCACAATGAACACTCTTCTACTGGTGTGACCAAAGCCTTTGAACACCCAAGCCCTGCAACCATGAAGGCTGGGATACAGCCAAACCTTGCATCTCAAAGGAAGCACAGATTGCTTCCTTCATCTCAGGTTTACTCATCACCTATGGTTTTTTGTACTCAAAGGAACACCACTTGTCAAGATTACCACAGACATGATCCAATGCAAGCAAGCACACAGGTGTATTTGGAAACTTACCACAGGGATTTCTGTTTCCTGGTAGTCTGGGTGTACCTGCTGGACAACACACAAAAAAAAACAAGTATAAACATCATGCACCAATCAGCAGATTTTGCCACAGCTGGGTGAGGATGGTTTTATAAAAGATTCTACCACAGGATGGGAGACTTTAGGGTCTGATCAGGCTTCCACATATGAGATGATGACCTTACCCATTGCCTGCAGCTATAGAATCACCATCATCACAAAGATCATTCCTCTTCTCAGCACTCTACAAATGAATTATACTCCAAAAGGGATGTGTGTACCCCCACAATAATTATAAGATTGTTTGTTCTGTCACTGTAACAGCTGCATGTTCACACAGCCCCAGTTCAGGTCCTGACCAAGACTACACTGCCTAACAGTGTTCATTTTGAAGTCATTGCCTAAAGACTTCTCTGGACTTTTTGACTGTGAAGGGGAAAGACAAAAATACACCTCTTTTCTACTGCCAAAGCACTGAACTCCATGCACTACATAGGAACAACGTGCCACAGTGGCTCAAAAGAGCATGTGAGTTTTCTACCCAGCACTTGTCCCACTCCCAGCGCACCAGCAAGGCAAGTTTATGTCCCCTGCTGTGCACCTGTTCTGCTTGTGCAGAACCACCCCACCACTTTGTACACCCTTGCCCAAGTCAGCAGTGCAAAGTCAGGCCTTGGCCCCACCAAAGCTGCATGTTTTAGTTCAACACAGTCAGAACTCTTACATTTTAAAGAATTAGAACAGACTGCAAGAAATCACTGTGGACCAAGAACCGCAGTTTTTAGCACTTCATAATACTTATTGTGCCAGCACAGATTGCTTGAAAGCTTGTCCGCATCCTTCAGAAAGGCCTTCTTAGTGCCCAAACTGAACAACAGAAAATCCACTATAGAAAACCAATTCTGAAAAGATCTATTAGGATTTCAATAAATTCCATTTATTTGCAAAAAGATCCAAAGCCACCACCAAGGAGGTTTTGTTCTGCATTTCTAAACATCTTTCAGGGTAAGAATTTCTCTTCTAGAAGACCAACCCTGAGACATCATATTCATTATGATGCACTAGGGTACCCAAGAACCTCTTCTCATGGCGTATTCTTCACACACATCCTCTCTCCAGACACTTTTTCAAGGGCAAAATGCACTGGAATAGAGGATACATTTAAATAGGGAAAATAGCCCTGAAATCAGCTAGTGGGTTATGAAACTGAAGGATGATGATTTGTCATTAATGATGCTTTGTTATTGACACTGCAGCCAAAAAAATCAAAACTGTTTCTGACACCAGAGATTCAGCAGTCTAGGAAAGCCAACTCCTCTTACTTAGTCTACTTAATTTTAACCTGTTGTCTTCATTAATCACTTCTACCTCTGCTAAAGCTGTGAAAATCAATGCACTGAGATTCAAGAAAAAATAAAAGTAAGGAGAGGGGACTACCACAGAACTTATGAAGCCTCAGAGAAATCACAGACTTATTTCTATCCAAAGATTCCTAGATCTAATTCAGTGGTAAAGCAAAAACTACCATAACTGCAAATTCAAAGTAAAAAATTCTAATCTTGTGAGAAAAAAAAAATAGCTATGGAATACATTGGGATACAGGCCTTTTTCTCCCAGCCATAGAGATGACTCTGATTTTTTTGTACTCTGAGGATTTTTGTTACATTTACTTAAATTATTTTGTTGCATTTACTTAAATTTCTTGCATATCAGCCATCATTTTCCAGTGGAACTATACTGTGGAAACACAAAACAAGTATAATCTGAAGTCTTGGAATTTAAGCACAAAGAACTAAGTTCCATCAGCATAATTATTTCTTGGTTCACTCCTTCCAAACCATAAATAGTTTCAAATTAATTAATTAATTTTATTGCTTCTCCTAGTAAGCCTACTTTTTTTCCACTTTGCATCTTCTCTTACAGCACTGTCAAGAATATACTTTCCCTCTTGGTCTTCAAAAAAAATTAACTCAGCAGAGAGATATTAATAGTTTGAGTGTAAATTTAGGCATCTTAATGCCTAAATTAAGACTAGTGGTAGGTGATCTTTTGTCCCCAGAGATGCTATGTGTTCTGTAACTGAGGTCATACAGGCCCCTCTCACACCTGTGACCTGCAGCAGTGAGCAGGTGCTCAGCACACTGCTGCTCTTGCCAAAGTTAACAGTATTAAATTTGTTCCAGTAATCAACAAACAGCTGTTCTGCTGTGCTCTGTCAGATACACTATTTCCTAGAATATTGTACTTCACAATTATGAGTGCATTTACCTAACCCTGAAAAAAGCTGGGGGAACAAAAGGGGAGAAGCAGCATCACTTGTTTCAGAGCCCATGGTGTCACACAAAAACCTACAGTATGCCACTAAAACCACAGAATCACTGAAAAATTGCTTATATTGGACAGAGGAAAAACCCAAATTATTTTAGAACAAGCTAGAGGATTTTACACAGCTATCACTAGGCTTCATAAGTAATGGTGTCCAGATCTGCAGCTCTTCGTAAAAAAAACCCACAAGCTTACTGTAATGTCTGTTTTTATTCACAAAGAGACAAAAACAACACCTGATGTGAAGTTATTGTTGTCAAAATACTTTTAGAACTTGCAACAAGATTGAGGAAATGAAGAGTCAATCTCCCATCTCAGAGCTGTATGGTGACCAACTGTAATACTAAAAATACAAGATGATCTTCAAGGCTGGTTTTGGTCTCCACCAAGCAAGGACTCCATCCTCCTTCAAAAGAAGGAGTGAATACAAGATTTCACATCACTATAAATTTTTCTCTTCTGTTAATGATTTTAAAGGATCTCAGGAAGAAAATTGAAACTAAAAAAAAAAAAATAGGCTTACTTCACTGCAGGTTAATTGCAAGCACTTTTTTCTTCCCTGAATGACACAGCACATCTGTGTGTTTTAACCTATCATTACTTATATTCCTTGAGAAGCCTGCATTTCTCATTATTTCCAGCAAATAAACAAGCAAACCAAGGAAGAAAATCAGAAGATATTTGATTCAAAGCCTAACAGCACTTCAGAATCTGATATAGCTCATCTGGGTAGGACAAAATGCAGGACTGTGTGTAGAAGACGCCTTATATACTTAGCTTAAAGGTGTGCAGCTATCAACAACAAATGAGAGCTGAAAAGCTGTAAGAAGAATCACTGGACTTGGTCTAAAAATGTCAGATCTGGGGGAAAATTCAGGGTAATAATCTGAGGATCGTAACTACCACCACAGAGACCTGTTGGATTGATCAATTTGCCACATTAATTAAGAGAATCTGCAATTCACTCCTAGTAAATGAAATTATAACCAAAGCAACAGGGCAATTTAGAGGTAAGAGTTGTCTCTGCACCTCCACCTCTCACCAGCAGCCCCAGTTCCACTCCACTTTATGTTTACCGTAGTCGATGTACTTTGAGATGATTCTTCTTCTGTACAAACAGTGGAAACAACCCGGGGAGACAGCCTGGATGAAGATGATAACGTCTCCCTGCCACTGTCCTCATTTAGAGCGGAAAGACCAAGCATATGGTGTCCATTCAGTTCACTGACTTTGCTCTGAGCACAGGTCTGCAAAGAGCTAAGCAAAGTGCCGTTGCGGAGGCAGGTAGTGCTGTGGAAAGTGCTCGTGAGCTTTGTTGATTTCTGATCACCCTCATCGGAGTCAAGCTTAGGGAATGACAGGGATTTGATATTGCTCACTGAAGTGATGGGGGAAAGGGACACTTTGGAAGACAAGGACATCTTTTCACAGTTTCCCAGCTGTGGTAAAGTGATAAAGCCATTGGGTTTGTGAAGGGGTTTGAAGTCCAACGTAGCCTTTTCTATGGATGCCAGAACTTCCTCATCTTGCAACACAGACTCAGACCCTCCTTTAGGCAAAGTATTATCTAACAGCTGGGCAACAATTGGCCCAGTAGTACCAACATGAATTTCAAGGATATTTTTTAATTCCTCCTTATCATCAATAGTTTTTAATTCCAGTTTGTCAAACGGGTCTTCTTCACATTCAAAATCAGCTGGGTTGAAATCTGCCTTTGGACGAGGTGGACTGAGGACCTTCTGCTTCACAGAGCTGGTGTTGGCTGGGGTAGGAGTCAGAATATTATTGTGCTGCAGGCTAGCGAGGATGGGGTTAATAGGAGGAGGAATGACTTCAGGGCAAGGTCCCTCTGAGAACCCCATCTTGGTGTTGTCCTCTGGAGCTGCTTTTGAGTTTGCTAGGGCTTCTTCTGCCTTGCGTTCAGCTTCTCTCTGGGCAGCCTGAATTTTTTTTATCTCTTCAGCCCACTCAATTGTTTTCTTTTCCAGAGAGAAGTCATACTTGATGGGGGTGGAGAGGAAAGAAGAGAAGGGGAAGTTAAAGAAAAAAAGAAAAAAAGATAAGTTACAAAGCTTATAGCTGCTATTTTAACAGCAACATAAATTAACACAAAAGAGAATAAGAGTTACATAAATTACCAAGAACAGCAACATTTTTTCACAAAATGCAGATTGACAAAGCTGGCAGACACCAGAAGTACTTAATTTTGCCAACAACCACAAAATCTGGCTGCAACCTGGATTAGACTACTGTATTTTGCCTCTTTCCTACGTTTAGCTTTGCTTTATAACTACTCATCAAAGATCAGTTTCACAGCCCTCCCACCTTCTTTCCCCAGGACAAGGGAGGTAGCAAGAGGAAGACTAATGAGTTATTAGATGAACAATCACACCCTGATCGGCACCACCGAACTATCCCCAGTCCACAACTTCTACAAGTCATTCAGCAGACTACTTTTGCATCCAAAGGCCAGTACAGTATTACTCAGTTTCTCCTAAAAGGTTCCTAAGGGACTTGAATTAGAGTGTTACACACGTTTGGCTTAAGCAGTATTTTCATTCCCACTCCAGTGCATCGCCTCACCAGCCAAAGGGGATACAGTGGCTACACCAATGACAACACCTACAGGCAGCAGCAGATTTTGCTCTAACTACTGATGTGACAGGATCTCAAAAGCTTTTCCCATTTAACATCAGGTCCTTTAAGGCCAGATCAGCACAGAGAGGCATCTACTCACTACCAGTGTACTGATCACAGAGGCTTAGTTGTAAAGGCCAAAATTCTGAGTAGCCTAACTCTATCTTTAAATACCCATGTATTTTTTTATACTAAAAAATTGGTGGGTAGCTGTATTTCCTGCACTACTTTTTTTTTTAACAGCACTCACTACAGCAGTAAAAAGAACCAAATTCCACTGTGAGATGCACAGTCCACACTGTGCAGGGTGTTGCAGTGTGAACAGGCACACTATGCTGGCTGAGACCCAGCTTGGCAGTAAAATGGAGACACACCACAATCAAGCCAACAACACGATATCAGCATCTCCTCTGGCTCTCCCACATCAGCTTAACTGAGTGGAAATATGGGTACTAGAAAAATCAGGTAATTTTTTAATGGTTATGAGGGAAAAGTCATGAAGAAGGATAACAGGGTAGGGAGAAAACAAAAACAAGAAAAAAGCAGAACTGCCTACAGCAATCTGTCACAAAGTAAAAACAATCATCAACTGGGGGGCTGGTCAAGAAAAATCATGGATACAAATAAGAAAACATAATCAAATTAGACTTCCTGTATCACAACCTGCATTTTGATTTAGATTTCCAACGTTATGCTAGTTATGCTAAAGCAATTGATTTTATGCTACTAACTGTTTATTTTACCAGAAACATGCTCCTGAAGACAGGGAAACCATCCGTGTACCAAGCTGTAACCTGTTTGCCCCACAGCTTGGAAAGAATTCTCACTCAGAACTACAGAGAAGAACACACAAGAACTACACAGAAAATAAGAACTGAAAATTATGCCATTGCCCTGATATGGGTGTCAGTTCTTAGAATTTTTCCTCTTAAAAATTATATTCAAAATTTGTAAAGATAACATTTAGAAATCACTACTACACAAAAGCACTGCTTCTTTGAAGCAGATTGACTAAAACAAATACTTAAAAATAAAAGCTTCATGGCTTTTTAAAGCAATAAAAATTAGAAGCTTTTTGCATGAACCATCATATTTTAATTTTCTATACAGCCCAACAGATCTTCTAGAAATATACGACTGTCTGTGTGCAAACTGCAACAACTTGGAACACATAGCACCACAGGCTGGGGCCAGGGGTAAGGGGAGAAGGAGCAGGAAGACGAAATATCACTTACCTGGGCTTCTCTGACAAGCTGAGAAGAATCAGACAGACAGAAACCAATGGGTAACCCAACCTTTGCTGGGGTTTTGAACTTGTCTCCTATCTTAAATGGGACATCATCAAGGTAACTGAAAGGCCCTGAAATCAGAAGCAGAAATTGAGAAAAAAACCCCACAACTCACGAATTTCACACTTTCAATTCAGGCTTACATTGCTGTATTTGGGAGCTATTTTATCTCCGCTGAAGCATCTACACCAGGTAACAACAAAAATAAGAGTTTGAAGCTATTTGGACTTCAGTGTCTCAGTTTAATTTAGGGAATTTGCTCAGATTTTGTTTAATTCCTAAATTCTAGCCAAGAACTGTTAAAAAAAAAAAGGCAAACCCCCTCACAATCCACCAGATTTTGACATCAATGCAACCAGTATTTTAGTTTCCTTTGTGACATTACTATTCCTACACAACTGGATGCTGAAGCTCTTCTGAACACTGTATTCTATTGCTATAAAAAGATCCATCACTTTTTGTCATATTCAAAACAGATTTTAAAATTACCCAACTTTAGAACAACTAAGGAAAACTAGAGTCCAGGTTTTGACATACAACTAGTAAGTAGCATTTGGACAGAAGTGGTCACAAAGGCAAAGCGATGAACCAAAGCCATTCCACTTTAAACAAAACACCATGAAATAAAAAGGTTATTTAGCAGAGCAACTCTAATTTTTGAAACAAGGCAATCTAACTTTATCAGGCCCTACATCTGTCTTTTTTTTCTGGGATGACACTTTTCCTACAAATTCACGAGGATAAAACACTTAGAGCTCAACCACCACCAAGCAGCCAGACTATTTGTGTGTTTTCCTTGAGAGACTGAAGAAGTATGAGAAAATCCAAAATACAAACTAAACAACTTTTCCATTAACTGAAAATAGTCTCTTGGATCACTGGTCTAAGGCTTTTGGAATCACAGACAAGGTCTCTGGCATATGAAACAACCTGAAGAGTGACTCCAGGCCTCACTTGTAGCTTCTCCCTGAGTGAACAGATACAGAAAAACATTAGTGGCAATATCTAAGATGGTATTCAGTACCAAGCCCTAGCTCAGTGAACTGTGACTTGCTGTTTTTATCTGACCCATTTTCATACTCAGATGGCAGTTTAAGTACTGTTTGTGTTCCCTTGCTGTTGATTCATCTACAAGGCAGCCACAGACTCCGAGAGGCTGAACAGCATTCATAAACAAGAACATCCTGTCAATTTGCAGTTAAAAGGCTTATATGCTTTTTTTAAGAGTCATTACTTGAGCTCTCATACTATGCACACTCACTGGGTGGTCACAGTGAACAACCTACACCCCACCTGCACCTCCAGGATGAAAAAAAAAATGCTTCAGGTAGAATACAACAGTATTTTCAGTGATTCTTACTGGGAATCACATATCCAAGCATTGCACAGCACAACATCCAGACAGCACCTCACTTGGCCTACACTACCACTCTTTACAACACAGCATCCAAGTTGTACTTGAGCTGAGAATTCGAGAGCCTGATATGGTAAAGCATTTGCTTATACAGAAATAACAACTGTGGCAGCCTCCACAGCCAGAGTGGTAAATAATGGCCAGGTCAGAGACAACCAGATCTGCCAGCTGCTGCCATCACAGCCTACTTAGTCCCACTGGCACAAGTCCTGCTCTATGCCAGATGATCCAAGTGCAGCAAGATTACCTCTCCACATGAAACTCCCAGCCCAAATTGCTCAGCATGCAAATGCTTGTCTTATTAGACCTACTGATAATATGTAGTGGGCACTTCCCCTTGCACAACTACACCTAAAGCAGATAGCAGCCACACAGGGTACAAGCACAAACCTTGCTGTTTACATACCAGCAATCTTGTTTTGCACAACAAATAAATACTAAGCACACCTAGACTAACTATATTGACAGCTGCCAGCTTAACCCCAGAAGCTTGACTAAGGAATAAAAACTTCCTACTTTCTCCCCAGTATATTGATTTTTCAGTAACAGCCCTTGCTATAACCCTCATCCTGAATATAACTATGAGAAAAAGCCCATAAGCACATATTAAAAACACCTTAAATAGTTTAGGGTATTTAATGGCAAAAGGTCCGAGGCAAAACACAGAATGCACGCAGAATTCAGTTTGTTCCAGCCCAATCAGAACAGTACTAGCTTGGTGAAGCTAAAATCTTATCCAGAGAGCCAAGGATCTGGTTGGTTTTTTTGAGCAGATAACAGTGAACACACCAAGGAGTAAAAGGGTGCAAATTGTTTTAAATGCCACATTCTAGAGCAACAAGAAGAAACCTACATAAAAAAAAAAAGTATTATGAAAGACATTGTTACAACAGTCACACGTTCAAGTGAAATGACTTTTTACCGAACTGTAATTTAGTAAGTCTGTTAGTCACTTCATCCTTGTATCAGTTAAAAGCATACTAATTTCTGAGAATAGACTTGGCAAAAGTGTACTTCTCAGCCAGGTCTCTGGCACTGTGCTCTGTACTACATTCCTGGCACAAGCTACTACAAGCGTAGGATTTCTCTCCACTTCAGTATAATTCATAGAAGTGTCCTTCAGTTTGGCACCAAAATGGAAACTTCAGGAAAAAAATTAAATAAATAAAAACACACACACATACAACCAAAACAGTTACCAGTTATGAATGTGGAACAGTTTTGAAACCACATGGAAACACAGTTGCTGTGGAAACACTAACCAATTACATAATGGTCAGAAATCAAGAGTGAAAAAGCTTTGAAATTGTATAGCAACAGCAAAAATACAACTGAAATATTGAAGCATCACACTTGGCATAACCCACACAGGAAAAGGGATTCCTTTCCCTCCACTCATACCTTGTGTTCCCATCTTCATCTCAATTTCAACATGGTCCTGAGCAATCTACTCTAGGTGACCCTGCCAGAGGTTTGGACATGATGATCTGCAGGTGCCCCTGTCAGCCTTAACCATTCTTGATTCAGTGACAGCCCTCTGACCTCTAATAAGCAGTTCAACAATAATCACAAGAGATACATCAACTATATTGACTGATTTCATCAGTCTGCCAGAGAGACAGAGCTGAAGGCAGCCACGTGGATGGATGCTCTACAGTAAACCAAAATTCATTTACTGAGTTAACAACCCTGGAGAAGACTGAAACTGCCCTGCTGATCTCTTAAGACATAATTAAGCCAAGGAAGTTGCTCCACTACTCCTCAGAAACAGTACAGTGATAATGTGGTTAGGAACAGAGGGTACACAAAGGAGCAGACAAGTTAACCAGGCAGCTCACAGCACCATTTGTTTGGACCTTGTTATTTTGAAGCCAGGAGCATGTTCCACCACACCATACTATTGTGGGAAATATTTAAGACATGTTGAATTCTAGCCCTGAGCAGCCTTTGCTAGTCTGTTTAGGTGAGGAGAAAAATAAAAACAGACATAAAAGACAAGCAGATCAAAGATTTACAGGAGCAACTGCTGAATAGCTGGCAACTACCAAATCAAAAAATTAGTTGTCTTGCAGCAAGGTCACTGTGGCGCAGCAAAGGAGGAGACCATCTAAAAATGAAGTTTAGATAGGCTATTTTTATTAATTTTTAATGCAGCACTTAAGTGAGACCTTTCTTATTTTGTACTTCAACTTTATACCTGCAAGACTGAACAAAAAGCTCCAGGAAAAATGGAATTCTCCAGGACCCTTTTAGTGGAAAAACTAGCCAGAAATATGAAGGCTCAATATCTAGAAGCATTAGTTTTAATAGCCTGAAAAGTCGTGATTACTGATTTGAGGAAGCCACATTACATACAACAAACTGAACTTTAATGTTTCACAGCAATATTAATTACATTCAAATTACACCCCATTTTCTAAAAAATAAGGACATTACAGGCAAGTAACTTTTATGATACCAATCACCTGCATGACCTTATGCATCTCATATGTAGAAGACAGAAAAATAGAGTCTCTTCTTCACCTGCCTTCTGAACCAGTTTAGTCCAATTTAGGAGAGAAATTCACAGCTGAGCAAAAATGAAACATAATTCAATGTTGCATTAAAAGCTTCACTTTCAATTCAGCTTCTCATGTTGCTTTTATATTAAGATGCTACAGATCTAGTGTCCATTTTAGCAAACACCAAAGCAGTTCAGCTTTGATTCTGAAGGGGTATTTGTTTGGGAAGGGGAATGTGTTATTCTGCCATGAAGGAACAGTGAACAGCCAGAGACTGATTTTCAGTTTAATCAGAAAACAGGCAAACACAGCATCAGCAAGCAACTATGCAAGAAGGAAGCCAAGGCACTTCATTCCTAACAAAAAACTACTCAGAGGCTAAACAGATTAATCTCAATGGACTGTCTAGGCTAGGACATTAGTCAGCAGCAATAGTAGGATTTACCCTGTTGAAAAGACAAGAATGCCAAATTTCACTTACCATGAGAGTCGGATCCCAACTTCTTAGAAGCCATTTAGAACCTGAAAAACATTTTAATACAGCTTGAAGAACTTTGTATATAGAGCACAGAGCGAGTCTATGCAGTTCCAGAGTCTTATCTGTAGGTTATGGTACACATTGCAGACACCTGATGTGCCTGTTCCCAAGACAGATAAGCAAACACATTTTTTAGCCTTGAAACAATTGAGCAGACAAAACTTAGCCCAGGGCCTGCAAACTGAAATAGAAAAATAAAGAAAAAAACTCCCCAACCAAAAAACCAAAACAGCAAACAGCCAAGACACAACCAGGGTGATCAGGAAGACAGAGTTACAGATCACAGCACTCAGTGGCCACTCTGCCCCAGCCTCATGAAGCACACCCTGCCTACCATGGCATTAAGAATAGCTCTTCCTCCTGGAAATACCACACTGATCCTCTTCAATTTAATCCCTGCTGCTCTAAAAAAGGGATACTACGGCAATGGGTATGCAGCCAGTTAGCCAGCATGGCGCTCACCTAGACACACTGGGCAATGCATACAACAAGCATAAAATAAATGGTACCATGAGGAAGATATGTTTGATACACACAAGAAATCAATGAGAACAGTTTGGCCCCATCCACTGCCTACAATTAGCAACAACTTCTTAAAACAAATTTTAAAATTTGGATGGAATCCTACATGGCCAATATGTTAAACAAAGAAGTGCCTAGACAGTTTTTAACAGAGAGTAGGCCTGCCTCATGAGAAGAGTTGTTCAATTATAGAATTAGCTGTCAGCTAAAACTCTGCTCCAGAATGGTGATGGTATACTCAATAACATGGGTTTTTTTTGCTAGATTAGAAGTATATCACGAAGTCTAGCTCAAGACATCACAGCATGATTTCTAGAGTGCCTGAATTTATTTCTAAGTGTTCCTTGTGACATTATGCATGACAAAGACTCAGAGTTGGCCTTTGTCTCTGAAATTCTCCAGCTCATAGACTGAAATGCTCAACAGCTGTTCTTCAAAACCATGGAGGCCTCTGGTACATCCCCATAGGCAGCAAAGCACAACAACATGGGGCAGATCTAACATTCATGCCCATGATTCCCCAGCCAAGGACTCCTGGGCTCACTGTTCCCATTGTAGATTCCAATGGCAAACATTACATTTTGAAGGAAAGTGTGTATTACACAGTTTAGCTATTTCCTCCTTGATGCTGCTGACAGGACTGGGGACAAGAAGAGCCAGTTTCAGGTACTCTAGGACTAAAGTCCCTTTTGTGGTGCAAAGATCCCTTTCAACATTATGTCGAAATCAACAGGTGAACCAGTCCTGGCTAACGGGAATTCTATACTAAGCCAAAGCCAAACCCGTATGAAGATCACCCATGTGCAACCAGACTTTGTGAAACACAGTGGGCAGATGCTGGGCCATGGGGAAGTGAGTCATGCTGGGTAAGTCCAGGTGCATGCTGCACATAAAAACTGTGTGTCATCCTGCTCAATGTTTGTCAAGTTCTTTTCAGAACTCACCAACCTCTCTCAGCAGTGCTATTATGTCTGAAACTATTCCACTAAGCCAAAAACTGGTTCTGGCAACTAGTTCTCAGAAACAAACAAAACATTAAGGCTTCAAAGACAGAAAGAAAAGAAGGTGAAATAGTGTCAAGCCTGCCATCTAAGGAAGGACGTCAAGGGCAAAGCCACCAGACAACCCAGCAGAGCTGCATGTCAACCACTGGAGCTGAACAAATCTTACCGGTCCCAATGCCCAGACTGCAGACAACAGCACATGAAATAGCTGCACCTTCAGACCCAGGTTTCACAGCCAGCTGTGTTGGTAGTTCCTGTCTGTGAGAGTAGCAATTAAGTTATCAACTGGATTTGTTTTCAGTGAAAAAGCCAGGTGACACATAAAATCATACCTTCACATCCTCACCAGTCCTCTCTTTGTGGCTGGAGACTGCATGGCACTGCTCACTCTCCACTGAACTTGGGAGAAAGCCTCTACACACTTATTTTAATTTCTCAGAGTTTTTTTTCTAGTTACTGCCTCAGACTGAAAAGCAACTCCTTTTTTAGAAGATTTCAAAAACTTCTGATAAGAGAAAGTAACCTCCTCACTTTGCCAACTCAAGTTGATAAGGGGGTTTGCTCAAGGGAGCACCAGTTGCTACTGCTCCAAGGACATGAGTAGCAATGTGTATAAATCCCAACAAGCCAAAACTGCACATCCAGCTTCCAAGGAGTCTTGCAGTAGCCTATAACACTGGAGTTGCATAAAGTCTCAGTGTCATCCCACATAAGATATATGTATCTTGCTTTTGCTACCAATCCTGTAATAAAATCCTAATGCTGACCTGGTGTCTGCATTAACTTCAAGATGCAGTGGAAAAATAATTCCTCTGCCATATGAAACACCTTAATTAACCACAGAAATAGCTAAGACACATCAGCAGCAAGCTAGTCATGAAATGGATTATTTCCAGAGCCAGTCACTTTAGATTAACATAACATTTGAGTTTATATCACACAGGTATTGCTGATGCACTGTAAGTGTGCACTTATTAAGACACCATTACTTCAGAAGGCACTTGTCAGCAGACAAAACTGTTAAGCACCACACTCAGTAACATAAGAACAGGCTGCCAGCCACATTTCATCACCCCCTTCCCAAAGAAGGTTTAATTAAAATAATGTCTTATGTCTAATCAGATTTGACAGGCTTGTCAGGGACCACTGTTACAAGTATGATGCTGTTGCTCTGTCATCCTGGCTGGGAAAACAATATTTGCATCCAGTTAGGTGGTTACTCATGTTGTTACTATGATTCTGGGCATTTTCTGAACATTAATTATACCATGCAGTAAAGGTTTGCTTATTTTTGTTACCACTCATTTTGAAATTTAATTTGAAATTTGGACTTATTCCAAATCAGATGATGGACAAGTCCAGCCCTACCACTGTTCCCTTTGATCTCCACACTCCAAAACAAGATGCTGAAGGGCATTGTTGGTAACAACACATGGACTTTGGCCTGATAGTTTACTGCACACTGTAAATTAAGAGGACAAAAAAGCTTTTTCAGCACCTTTCCGGCTCTAGAGGAACCAGTCAGTTGCATCATACTACAGGGTGTTCTTACAGCCACCTACAAGCTGTCTTCCATAAATGTAGACCTCCCTAGCCTCACTCCCTTGTTCTTGCTTCTGGCCAACTGTCCATGGAGAAGATCAGGTAAGTACCTAAAGGTTATAAAGAAAGGAACTGAAGCAACCTTATGTGAACTCTTGTCCATCCATCTGTATAGTTTTTTACTTAGTAACACTGAGGCAGCAAGTCAACATTCTTACAACCAGCCAATCAGAGGAACACAGCATAGCAAGAGCCCAGGATGAGGGCAGAGGACCTCAGAGTGATCATGACAGAAGGGGAGAGGGGTAGGGAAACAACCACAACAACAAACACCACAAAGATGCAGAAACAGAAGTGGCAAGGCGAAACTGATGACAGCAACAACTGGTACAGAGAGGTGATGAGTTGGACTGGCTTGCAGACACAGAGATGACCAAGGCAATTCACTGTGCATGCCATCACCTAAACCTGAATGGCATTTAGTTGTGCTGCTACACATGGAGGACACAGAAAAGCATTACTTGGTTCAAGTAGGTAATGCCAAAAGGAGTCTAATCAACAGAAGAGAACAAAAAATTATTACAAAGAGTGACTCATGAAGAGCTTCCGGGAAGTTGAGGTGTTTTTTTGCTATTATTTCAATGTTTCTTCTACTTTACCTTGAGTTTATATTTTCATTCCTTTTCTTCTGAAGGAGTTCTGAATAGGCAAGTTGGAAGTATCCTACACTAATGATACCTGTAATTGCTTTATTCATGATAACTCAAACCAATTTAACTATTTGGAAGAACTGTTCTCTTGCTGCTCTGTTCCTGAGTTTGGGGTGCAAACATGTCTGGATCCCAGACCATGTTAATTCCCTCAAGTAATTTCCACCTGAAATTCAGATAAATGAAAAGTGAATAACTTATGGGTGAAAGGAAACAAAAATGCCTCAAGTTATCAACCATAATCAAATCAGCACATCTATGGTTTTCAGAGAAAGATCTATCTTGCAATTTTCATTTTACCTGCTAATACACATTGGGTAGTCTACACACAACTAAGAATGTGCCATTCAGTCTGAAAACTACAAAAACAGAAGTCTAAAAATGTAAAACATTTTTTCCTGCCTATATTACATTAATGCACTAGTGATCTTACAGTAAAGAAAAAAGTAAAAATCACTTTGATTCAACTGACTGGTTTCTAATGGTCACAGGTGTTCAAAATTTAGACTGTTTTCAGTTTTCACTGTAACAACTTAACTTCAGTGCAAGTGAAGGGCTATAACCAACAGGATTCTGTATATATAGCTTCAAAAAGCAAAACTAGAAGTCAACAGTGTCTGTTGCTAAGACAAAAAAAAAGTTAAGTTTCTCATACCAAAGCTTCCCATCTATGTAAGTGTTCAACCACTGCTACACAGCTCAGATCTCTCAGCAAAAAGCCAGCAACTTCACTATAGTACAAAACAGATTCCATATTTTTACTGTAGTATCCAAATAGATGACATCACCCCAAAACCTGCAGCAATTGCTTCTGCTTTGTACCTCTAAGAGTTCTACAAACAAGAGCATGTGAAGGTACTCCCCTTGCAATAAAGCACAATGATGTTGAGCCCCTGGTAACAGCTGTCTGGATGAACTTGTAATGCAACATGTGACATAATGCAACTACATGCCCACAACACTAACATCCCCCCCCAAATACCTAATCAAGCAAAACAACAATAAAAAAAAGTAAAAAAAAAAACCAAGACCCCAAAACCAAAAACCCACAAAGGAAAGAAAAAAAAAAAGCTATCACCAGTCTAACAGAAAAGTAAGTTCTAGCTTTATCTACAGTAACTCCTCTGTAGCGCTACCATAATCCAGAAGATAAAGTAAATTAAATTTCTTGGTCAATTTTAAGATTGACATAAACGAACCAAAACC